TCACATCGGGCGCGTGTGCGTGCGTGCCCAAGATCCCGAGAAGAGAATGGAGGAGAAGGGATTGCGGCGTAGCCATCCCCCCTGGGGGGTGATTTCTCGCTTTCTGTCTCTCTCTATCTGTCTGGCAAGCGCACGCGCCCTATAGCGAAAACCTCTCCAAAAAAAGAAAAAAAAAAAGATACAATATCACTGAACTCCTCCATGTACCTGTTTTCTTTCCTGTTACCTGATCCTTCTGGCCACATAATGGGGGGATTTGCCTCCTCTGCCCTCTGCCTTATAATGACTGCTACTGGTGTCTCTCTCCTAGTGCCCACCACCCTCCCTCTCCAGGAAGTCCACGTTAGCAGGGAGACCATTGGGAAGATTTCAGCTGCCAGCAAAAGTAAGCCTATGTTTTACCTAACCCTCCAAACACCCCTTCAGAGCTCCCTGTGGTGGACCTCAGGGAAACCCTGATCCTCCAGAGAGTTTCTGCCCCATCCCGTATTCCTTTCACGAGGCAACAGGAGTTATTTTCTCAAGCGGGGGCCAGACCAAGTCACTCTTCTTGGGAAAATGTAAATGAAAACACATACACAAAAACCCTTTGTAAGCCTTTACTGCTGAATGTCTTGGCCAGAGTCTGAAGGTCTGTGCCCTGACCACCACTGCTCACCTGCTCTCACCTCTCTTCCACCCTCATCTGTGCCCCTCCACCTGATCAGGCGATGCCAGCACGTCCCGAGAGGCCTGCCATCCCTCTCTGTGAAATCTCCTCATCCAGATAGTTCCAGCGCTGCTCCCTGGGTGGCACCCTCTGGGTAGTTTCTTTGACTCATGGTAAAGGTGTGGAGTCAGCCAGCCTGGGGTTGGGTCCCAGCTGTTCCACATACTGTACTCTGGCCTCAGGAGAGTCACCGAGCTACCTGTGCTCTGTTTTCCTTTGTCCAGTGAGGAGCAAATTGTAAAGCTACTTACACTTGGAAGTAGAGGGCTAGGGGATCATAGCTAAGAGGTACAGGATTTCTTTTTGAGGTAATGGAAAATGTTCTAGAACTGACTGTGGTCAAGATGGAATGTGCCTATGAATATACTAAAACCATTGAATTGTATACTTTACATGGGTGAATTATATGATAGGTGAACTATATCTCAATAAAACTTTCAAAGAAATGAAAAAAAAATTCATCTCAGGGTGGTTGTACAAATCAAATAAATTAGTACAGGTAAAGCGTCTCCCACAGGGCCTGGCATAGAGGCAAGGCACAGTCAAGACTGGCTCTTATTGTTACTACTGGGACTTTGGGATCACAGGATTTTATGTATGAGTACCTAGTTGTATCCTGGACCAGATTGTGACCCCTTGAAGGTGGGGCCCAAGACTTCTTAGTATCCCTCATTGGCCTGTAGATACTCCTTGGAGAACTCAGTTACTGTTGAACTAGATTCTTGCATTCTTACAAAGACTTTCATGGAAAGGCCTGTTTGTGAGTATCATGCCCAGGGTGAGTGTGTGCTTCCCACTTCAGAGTAGCCACTTCTGGCCTGGGTCTTCCACGGTATTATCTCCCTGTGCTAAGATAAGCAGCAGCCTGACCTACCACAAGGTCATTTCTGCCTTCAGTCTGCTTTGAGGGTGAGCCCCACTTGCTACAAAACCACAAGGAAGTTTGCTTGTCACCATCCTTCCCACTCTCCCTAGTGATGTCATGCTCAGCTGCAGTGGACCTCCTGTTTCTGTTAGATGGCTCTCACAGCGTCGGCAAGGGGAGCTTTGAAAGGTCCAAGCACTTTGCCAACATGGTCTGTGATTCTCTGGACATCAGCCTTGAGAGGGTGAGTACAAATCTTGTCAGCCTTTGTCTTTGAGGGCATCTTTGGTCACATGTGACAGAAATCCAGTCTTAAGCAGTCAGTGCAGTCACAGGCTTGCAGAACTGGCAAGACCCAGGGGATCAATCCAGGTTCCGGGCATGGTGGGCTCCAAAGGTTCAGACAGGGCTTCCAGACCATCCTCTTTTTCTCTTTCAATTTTGGATTCCTTGTTTGGTTTCCTTCCCTGGTAAGTGTTCCTTACACAGTAAAGTTGCCCTGCATTGTCCCTAAGCTTGTGACTCTAGTAAAAAAGAAAGTGAACTTCTTTCCCAGTAGATCTGGGCAAAGACCTAGGGAGGGGTCTGATTGGGCAAACTTAAGTCACATGATTATCCCTTGACCAATCACAGTAGTCAGGGTTTTTTTTAGTCTGGCCAGACCTGAGTCATCAACCTCTTGGGGATGGGGAGTAAGCACTTAGATTTGGTTTCCCACTATAAAGAGCCGTTGTATTTGCAAAACGATGGAACACAAAGTATGTTGAGCAGACCAAAACTGTAAGTACCTCAGAAATCTAGGGTGTTTTGTTTTGTTTTGTTTCGTTTTAGAGATATTTGCCTTAGGGTGCATGCACTCGGCAGAGAGAGATAGATACACTGAAAAGGAAAGTGAGAAATCACCCCCAAGAGGGGATGGCCATGCTGCAGTCCCTTCTCCATTCTCTTCCTAGGATTTTTGAGCACACACACATACACAACTGGCCTGAGTTTCAAGCCACCAGGTCTGGGACTTGAATCTCAGTCAGTTATGTGGGAGTCCAGTGACCTAACTGCTATGCCTTCTGCTTGGCCCCAAGACTAGAGTCTTAATATGATGCAGAGCTCCTACCTTCTCTGTTCACTTGAAAGGAGCTCCTCCTGCCTGGGTGAATCTGGCTAGTCTTTATTTTTTGTTCTTCCTACTATCAAATAGCAAATATCAGGTCTCTCTCTCTCTCTTTTATTATTATTTATTTTAGATTTTTGCTATAGGGTATGTGCACTCACTGGAAAGACAGAGAGATTGAAAGCAAGACATCACACCCCCACCCCTGCCATGGGCAATGGCCACATCATAATCCCTTCTCTTCTTGGAATTTTGGGCATGCTCACACATGCACCTGGCTTGAATTTAAGCCACTGGGTCTGGGACTTGAACTGTGATCGACTACATCTGAGTCCAGCAATGTAATCATCACACCTTCTGCCAATTTCCAAATAGCAGTTCTTAATATTAGCAGAGAGTGATAACTGTGGCTCTTGTTTCTAAAAGCTGCATTTTTGAGCATACCAGTACAAAAGCAGGCAGTGAATACAGATCACAGAAAAAACAAACAAACAAACAAACAAACAGAGATGACTTTTAGGCATATGGAAATTCCAGCCTCACTCCATGTCATCTTATTTTTTTTTCTTTTTTTTGGAGAGGTTTTTGCTGTAGGGCGCGTGCACTCACCAGACAGACAGAGAGAGACAGAGAGATAGAAAGCGAGAAATCACCCCCCAGAGGGGATGGCCACGCCGCAATCCCTTCTCCTCCATTCTCCTCTCGGGATCTTGGGCACACACGCACACGCGCCCGGCATGAGTTTAAGCCACCTGGTGCCGGACTCGAACTGCAGTCAACTACGTGGGAGTCCAGCGACATAGCCATTACGCTAACTGCTGGTCCCACTCCATGTCATCTTTGACTGATGTGCCGCTTTACACTTACCAGACTAGCAAAACCCAAAGTGTGGTTCCATGCTCTGTTGGCAAACCTTTAAGAAACAGTTGTTCTCATGTGCTGCTGGTGGGTGTGCAGACTCGTACAACCTCTGCTGGGGCAATCCAAAAGTGTCCATCAGAATGACAAAGTCATGGACTCTGAGCTAGCAATTCCACTTCTAGGAATTTATTCTTCAGATATTCCCATTTATACAAAATGATACCCATAGCGAGTTATTCATTGTAGTGTTACTTACTTGTAAGAGTTCAGATGACCAAGATGCCCATTGATAAGGGCAGCTAAGTCTGTTACAGTGCATTCCTATAGTGAGACACTGGGAAGCTGCAGGGAGTGAGTGAGGAAGCTCTCTGATGTGGAAAGACTCCAGAACAAGTTAAATATAGAAAGGCAAGGTGCTCACCAAGCTACCATAGTGCAGGGGATGGGGCGCTGATGTGATACGGGAGCCGTGTGGGGAGGCCCGGAGTTCAGCTTCTGGGTCAACCTAATCTCACTGGGTGCACCAGTGGGAGCGTTGTAATCCTGGCTGCAGGGCTGGAGAGAGGACTGTGGCATGGCAGTACCCCATCGAGAGTCCCTATCTCTCTTCTTCTCTTAGGGAAGAATAAAAATAACCTTGAAGAAAAAGTAAGACATGAAAGTCAGGTGTAATGGCATGCACCTGTAGTTCTAGCAACTTTGGAGGCTGAGGTTGGAAGATCATGATAGTGATACCTGGTCTTAGAAAAGTGAAAATGATATGGAGACTATGTTACTTTCTATTTTTTATTCTTATTTTTTATTTTTGGGGGAGAGGTTTTTGCTATAGGGTGTGTGCACTTGCTAGAAAGACAAAGAGAGACAGAGAGATAGAAAGCGAGAAATCACCCCTGAGGGAGGATGGCCATGCCTCAATCCCTTCTCCTCCATTCTCCTCTCAGGATCTTGGGCACACACACACGCGCCCGGCATCAGTTTAAGCCACCAGGTCTGGGACTCGAACCGTGGTTGACTACATGGGAGTTCAGCAACATAGCCATTACACCAACTGCTGGTCCTACTATTTATTTTTTTAAAATAGCCGAATAAATGAGAATCTGTATTTGTATTTGCTTGTATAGTATGCATAAAGACACCGGAGGGATTGGAAAGTGGTTCCGCATTGAGAGAGCGGGTGGGTACTCATCAATACTGACTTTTATACTTTCAGGAGTTTTAATCAGGCAAACCTGCCCAAAAATCAAATAAAAAATTAAGAAGGACACTTTGATCTTGAAAACCATAATTATTTGAATTAGAGAACAGTCACATAGAGGTTGAAGAAGGAAGTGGTTTTCCAAGAGCACATTGCTGGGTTAATCCTGGTAAACCTCTAGGATTTAGGAGCAGAAGGGGCTTTTAATGAGGTCTAGATTTTCTCCAGAATGGCATGTCATTTGGGGAGAGTGAACACATTACTCTGGACCTCAGGCAGACTTGCTCAGTCATCTGAAGACACCCTTGCAGGCATCATTCAGTTCAGGTATGAGCAGTCCCAAAGTTCTTACAGTGATGTCAACCCAGCATGGACCCTAAAAGGGCCAGGACTCAGAGGACTGCTACAGCTTTCCCGTCCTGCTTTAAAGTCTCACTAGTTACTCTGGAGAAGAGACATGAACACTATTGACCTTGGCATTGACCTGGTGAGTGACCTAGAGGTACCTGGAGACGGTAAGTGGGGAGGGAGAGCTGTATGATCGGTAGTACATGTTTTACACATGAGAAGACGTGCTCAGAGAGGCTGAGTGACTGCCGAGCCTCACACAGCAGTCTCAGGAGAGAGCCATGTGTGAACGAATTGAGACTGTTGACCCCTAGACCAGGACTTGCTCCATTTAGCCATTGGTCTCTCCCGGTGGGTAGCTCGGAGCTAGGATGTGGTGAAGACATGCAGAACTCACCCCTAGCTATCACACAGCAGATGGCCCCCAGTAATGTGTGAGGTGTGTGAGTGTGGGGTGAGGAAGGGTAATAAAACCACCAGGAGAAATTTCACAGCTGATGCTGTTGGGAGCAGATCTCCAGAGTTTAATCTCAGTGTTGCCGCGCCACATTTATTGGGTCATCAGGAAAGTCATGACACAGTTTTGAATAGAAAAACATAGACAGATACATTATGAATTTCACAATGACCTAATGCAATTTGGCACTAAGTTCTGGAGGCTGATTTTTTCTTTTTCTCAGGCTTTTGCCATAGGGCACATGCACTTGCCAGAGTGAGACAGAGAGAGGAAAAGTGAGAAATCACCCCCTGAGGGTGGCCACACCTCAATCCCTTCTCCTCTATTCTTGCATGGGGATTTGGGGGCACACATGCATAACACCCAGCATGATTTTCAAGCTTCTGGGTCTAAGACTTGAACTTCAGTCAGCCATGTGGGAGTCCAGCACCTTAACCACCACGCCACCTGCTGGCCCCCTGGGACCTGGTTAGGTTAGGCTAGGTACTGGCAAACAGTTTGTGCAACAGGCAGCTAGGACTGTGAGAGGCCTCGAAACCTCCAAATATGAGGGAGCCTGCATATCATTTTCAAGTGAAAGAGGCACACAATGGCCCTATGTTTTTAGAGGGCAGAATATGGGTATTCAGGGTGTTAGATTTGGACTTCCCCAGAGAAAAACTTTCTAGCCACAGACTCTGGGAATAAAGGAATGACATATTCATTTGGGTGAGCTAGTAAGTGTCTTGACTGCCAGGGTGTTCCCACAGATTCGAAGGGTTTGCACATTAGGGCAGTTGAACATGGTCAGTCTGATTTGTGGCTTCTGGGTTTACATTTATGCTGTTGTGTTTTCGTGTCTTCTTTTTGTCATCTCTATATTAGAAGGGTTTTGATTTACACCTTATTCTACTTTCTATAAGTTTAGTTTTCAGGAAGAAATTTTCATGTAGCTATACATTAAGGCTTTTTATAGATGCTCTGTTGTTGAGTTGGAGTGAAGTGTTTGAAGTCTTCCTCTCAACACTTCAAAGCAGAAAAGTTCACTTCCTGGCTCTAGGACAGCCACTGCAGCCGAGATCACAGTGCAGAAGAAACCCAGGCCGGCTCCCTGCTCAGCAGACAGTGAACCGAAGATAAAAGGCAATTCTTTTGCTCCTAAACCACCAATTAAATAAGATGCCACAACTACTGACTTAAGCCGCTTCCTTCTTGTTTTGTTTTGAAGTGGTATCAAACAACTTCCTGTTTAACCTAAGTACATGCACTCAGCTGTGGGCCTCAAGGGAGTTTGTATTTTTTTAAAAAAAAAACTAAGAAATTCATTCACAAGAATGAATAAAAAGATAAACAGTGAAGTCTTTCTCCTTTCCTCTACATTTTCTTCTTGCCCCGCCCCCCACACCTGTTTCCTGGAGTACTCGTCCAGAATTATTTCATGCAAATACAAGAAATACGAAGAGATAGTCTTATTCTTTGATTCAGACAATGTACACATTGTTCTGACTCTTGCCGTTTTCTCTTCACATTATCTTGGCGATATTTCCAGTCTTGTATATAGGTACATATTGGGTTTTTTTACAGCTAATTAATGTCCTTTCATAAGGATTTGCCAAGGCCTAATTAATCAACTGCTGTTTATGGACATTTGCTATTAGAAATACACTGTGATCGTCTAAGTATTGAAGCTGTTTCACATATGTGGACATTTTTCATTGTTCCATTTTGTTTTTGCTTTTTATTGCATTAAGGCATGTTTTGTCCTACACAAGTTTTGGGGTTTTTTTCCCTTGTAGTCAGATTTATCTGCTTTTCCTTTATGGCTTTTGAATTTTATCATAATAAGGACTTTTGCACATCTTTTTTTTTTTTTATCCATAGGATAAATTCCTTTTTCTTTCTTTCTTTCTTTCTTTTTTTTTTTTTTGAGAGGTTTTTGCCATAGGGCGTGTCCACTCTCCAGACAGACAGAGAGAGACAGAGAGACAGAAAGTGAGAAATCACCCCCCAGGGGAGATGGCCATGCTGCAATCCCTTCTCCTCTCAGGATCGTGGGCACGCACACACACGCGCCCGGCGTGAGTTTTAAGCCACCAGTTCTGAGACGCAGTCGACTACGTGGGAGTCCAGCGACATAGCCATTACACTAACTGCTGGTCCCAATAGGATAAATTCCTAATAGCCCTGCACATTTAAAATTTTCAGTAAATACTGACAAAGTATCCTCCATGAAAGCTGTTCCAACTTCTTTTTTTTACCACCATTGCTTGAGAATGTTTGTTTCCCCTGCAAACATTGCGTCTAGTCAAGAGTTTTTTGATAAACCAGTAGAGAGGAATGGTATTTCACTGTGCTGAGGTCAAGCTACTATCCATTAAAGAACCATTTTTATTTCCTGTTCTGTGATCTCTCTTCATATCGTTTGCCCTTTTTCTGTTGAATTGTTGGTCCTAGACTCTCTGTCTCTCTCTCTCTGTCTCTCTCTCTATATATGTATATACATTCAATCACTGTGTATCTTACAGCATGCATATATGAATTTTCCCAGCATGAATACATTGCATACATTCTTTCATATATTGAAGAAACTAACCCCAATATGAATTTGCAAATAATGGTTCCATTTTGTCTTTGCTTTTTATTGCATTAAGGCATGTTTTGTCTTATGCAAGTTTTCTTTTTTTTCCTTATAGTCAGATTTATCCATTTTTCCTTTATGGCTTTTGAATTTTATCATAATAAGGACTTCTGCACATCAAAAAAATTTGAAAGTTTGTTATTTCCTACATGAGAGAGAGAAAGAGTCAGAAATCCCCAATAGCACCTTCACTCTGAGCCACCCTCTGCCTCAGCCAGCCAGCAAGGACCACGGGCATACACATGTGCATGCCTGGCACACACAGGGAGATCTCAGGATGAGAACTGGGGACCTTCCCATGTGGCCTCAGCATCACAGAGCATTGTGTTCCCATTGTGCTACCACAGCTGGCCACACTTTGAAGGAATAAAGGAATTCTCCCAAGGGTTCTAAAACTTGCATGGTTAGATTTCCCATACCTAAATCTCAAATCTATTTGTAATTTAGGCTTTTTCCCCTTTATCTGTAGATGACTATCCAGTTGTTCTAATATCATTTAGTTATGCCGCCTTTTCATCATGCACTAAATTCAAAGAAGTACTTGAAAGGGTTCCTGCTCAGAAACTTTTCCCTGAGCCTGTACTGTCTCATTAGCTGAGTAACTGGGAGCCTGTGCAGCTGGCCTGGTGCAGCAGGATGCTCTTCTCACCTTCCAAGCTCTAGACCTATTAAGGCAGCAGTCCCCAACCATTTTGGCACCAGGGGCTGGTTTTGTGGGAGACAATTTTTCCACAGACTGTTGAGTGTAGGAATGATGGTTTCGAGACGATTCAAGCACATTACATTTATTGTGCACTTTATTTCTATTATTATTACATTATAGTATATAATGAAATAATTATGTAACTCTCCATAACTCTCCACGCCACAGTCCCTTCTCCTCCATTCTCCTCTCGGGATCTTGGGCACGCACGCACATGCACCCGGCGTGAGTTTAAGCCTCAGGTCTGGGACTTGAACTACATAGGAGTCCAGCGACGTAGCTATTATGCTAACTGCTGGTCCCTAATTAATTTATTTTTAATTTAACCAGAGAGAGAGGGAGAGGAAGAGAGATGGAAAGTGAGAAAGCAAACCGCCAGTGCCGGGACTTGAAGCAGTATGTCGTGTGGGAGCCCAGTGCCTTAACCGCCCTGCCACCTGCTGGCCCCATAATGCAGTATTTGCAGCTACTCCCCAGTGCTAGCATCACTACCTCAGCTCTACCTCAGATCATCAGGCATTAGATTCTCATAAGGGGTGGCTAACCTAGTTCCCTCACATGCACAGTTCACAGTAAGGTTCACATCCTATCAAAATCTAATGCTGCCGGTGATCTGACAGGAGGCAGAACTCAGGTGGTAATAAGAGCAATGGGGAGCAGCTATAAAATAAAGGAAACTTTGCTTGCTCACCTGCCGTGTGGATCATGTGACCCATCTGAAATCTTGGCCAGATCTGGAGTTTATTATGAGAACAGCAACAGAATGTAGTTTCTCCAGGGAGTTGGTAAAACCAAGAATTTGGTGCAGGACTTAGGTTCTTGAGAGGAAACCTGAATGTTTATAGTCTTCTCTGCTCAAGACATGCTAGTGACTTAAGGGTCTGGGGAACACGTTTTCTCAGTTTCCTTTCTTTAGTTTTTTAAGGCAGTGGATTTTCTCCTCTAGCTTCCTCACTTAGAACACGAAATCTTCTTGGATTCAGTAGTACCCTCACTGAAGAGGAACTTCATTTCCATTATTACTTCTATGAGTTTAGGGTGCAGATTATCTGCAATTTGACTCTGGTCTGGAGACCTGACCTTCCTATATAGCTTGGCAAGGGCAGACCTGGAGGGGCCGACTACCCAGCAAAGCAGTGGTGGCCTGTGCTGGCTGCTGAGAGGACGAATGGTATAACCGAGCCTTAGGGAAGACCGTAGGCACTAAGTCCAGAGGCCTGGCTCCCTTTCTCACTACTCCTGGGCAAATAAGCCCTTGTCTTTGGCCAGAACTCTGTTCTCTCCACATTTCAGTTTGTCCAATAGGGGTGTTAATAGTGCCTCTGTAGATTTGGTGAGATACACAAGAGGTTGCATACAACAATGATTGTGCCTGGGAGACTGTTAGTAAATGTGAGCGGAGACCTTGCCCTAAAGACAGTCACAGCTAAGCTGAGAAAGCTGCCAGAGTGTGTAGCTGCTTCTAGGGGGTTGTGGGTTAGAATATTTAACTGGGGGTTGTTAATGCACAGGGAGCATTGTTAATGAGCACAGGGAGGGCTGACTGTTTCCTTCCAGATTCTTCTACTGGCCAGGGAGGCTGGAGGAAGCCTGGCACTGGTATTTGTTGAGTGAGCAGGAGGCAGGGTCACTGACCTTTCTCATTCCTTTTTCCTCTTAGGAGTGTTTGTGACTTGACCTCAATTTTCCTGCTGCAGGTCAGAGTGGGAGCGTTCCAGTTTGGTTCCGCTCCTCATCTGGAATTCCCCTTGGATTCATCTTCAACCCGACAGGAAGTGAAGGCACAGATCAAGAGGATGGTTTTCAAGTACGTATAATCAGATACCGCCATGGTCAGGATGACACCAGCTGCTCTCCAAGTACCTCCCTTGCAAGGTCTGGCCCAACTCCTGGCTTCACAGAGGCCTTTGAGCCCTGCTTCCAGAAGCCCCCCTGTGCACAGTGGGCAACAAAATTCCCTTCCCAATACTGCCCCTTACTACATGATAATGTCCTAGGTGGGAATTTAAATGTAAGTTTAGAAAAGCTTTTGCTGCTATGTGTGTATTTGTCAGTACCCGGGAGAAAGGGCTCGAGGAGGTCTAGATGGAAGTTAAGAACATGGGGTGGTGGGAAGAGCACTGGGTCCTAGCCCTAGCCTGACTCTGTGACCCCTGCAGCTTGGCCAGTTCAGCACACTTCTCCGAGTCTCCTTTTTGTGGCCTAAAAGAGTAGGTGCCCTTCTGTTACTGAGAGCTCTTCAGAAACTATGAATAGCTATTTATGTGTGCTTGTACACATGTACACCCTATAATTACAGCATGTATGGGGATTCGAATTTCGCTCACATTACAGGTTAGCTGATGTGTGTCCATGTATCATGTGTGTGTGCTCATATATATATTATATGTATGGATGTAATTTTAGAAAATGATTAATTAAATTTATTATTATTATTATTTTTCAGTTTGACCAGGTAGAGACAGAGACTGAGTGAGAAAGCAAACCACCAGGTCTAGGACTCGAACCATGGTCAGCCATGTGGGAGTCCAGCGCCCCAACCACCATACCACCTGCCAGCCCCCAGATGTAAATTTTTGTGTATTTGTTGTAGATACACACAAATATGCATAGGCATACACATATGTACATGTACGTATTTACACACATGTTGATAATTCTTCATGTGTCCTCACAGAAGAATGACTTTGATTTGCCACTTGCTGCTCTGATCTCTGGATTTGCTCTGGTCTCTGCATCTCCTCATGCGAGTGTCCACTGAAAGTCCTGCTGACGTCTGTGTCCCAGCCACTGATGACTGTCACCTCCAATTGTGGAGGGCCTGCACTCTGAGGTCCTTTTTCCAGTCTGAGGCTTCTGTAGGTTCTTCAGTGCTCTCGAGAAGTCTGGGGACTCACACTGGGCACAGCAGGAACTTTGGGCTCTGAAGGCCCCGGGGAAGCCATAGTGACCCTTAGCACCTTTATCTTAGACTATAGACCCAACCCTCTTTTCTGCCAGTGGGTGTCCTGAACAGAATAGCAGGCAAGTCATATTTAAGAAAGTACAGAAGGAAAGCACATTAATATGTTTTTTAAAAGCACATTAGTGCACACTGGCCTTTTCTTTTTCCTTAGGAGCCTTCTTCCCTGGGATCTCCAAGAGCTGGATTACTGTGGCACATAGTCTTAGGGGGCCCACAGGTAGTGAGGTGGATAGGGCACTGGACTCCCACATGGTTGACTGGAGTTCAAGTCCCAGAACTGACTGCTTGCTTTCTCACTTTTCCTCTCTCTCTCTCTCCCTCTCTCTCTCTCTCTCTCTCTCTCTCTCTCTCCATCTCTTTCTCTGTCTCTTTTTCTTTTTCTTTGGTCAAATTAAAAAATAACAAATAAATAAAATTAAATAAATAATTTTAAAAGAGAGAGAGAGAGAATAATCTCTTGGGCCAAACAATGGCATGGTGACTAAGGTGACCAGATCCCACGTGACTGACTGTGTAGCCTGAGTCCCTGACCCAGCGGTTTGAAAAAATGCTGGGCAAATGTATTTGCATGTCTAAAATCCCAAAAGGAGAAATGGAAAAGAAAAGGATTATGGTGTGGACATCCCCCCAGGGGGTGCTTTCTCAGTTTCTCTCCCTCCCTTTGTCTCTGGCAAGCACATATGCCCTATAACAAAAATTTATACACACACACACAAACAGTTTCAGCCTTGCTCCCATATTGTGTGTCTGAGCCCAGATACATATGGAAGCACCAAAATGGAAACAACATAGATGTCCAACTGATGAATGGATAACCAAAATGTGGTATGATCATACAATTGAATATGATTTATGCATAGAAATGAATGAAGTACTGATTTGTGCTGCATCCTGGATGAACCTTTGAAGCATGCTAAGGGAAAGAAGCCAGACACAAAGGGTCACATATTGTATCATTCTATCATTTCGAAATGTCTAGAATAGGAAAATCTATGGAGATAAAGAGCAGATTAGTCATTGCCAGGGGGTACGGGGACTGAAGAATGACTGCTAATGGGTCCAGACTTGTCTTTTTTTAAGAGAGAATTTTACCACTGCTAGAGAGACAGAGCCAGAGAGACAGAAAGCGAGAAATCACACCCCCAAGAGGGGATGGCCATGCTGCAGTCCCTTCTCCTCCATTTTCCCCTCGGGATCTTGGGCACGCACGCACATGTGCCCGGCATGAGTTAAGTCACTGGGTCCAGGACTTGAACCTCAGTTGACTACATGGCAGTTCAGCGACATAGCCATTATGCCAACAGCTGTTCCCCCCCCCACCCAACCCCTTATTTTACAGAAGAGATATTGAGGCCAAGAAGGAGCAGGCAGTCAGGCCAGGATCACAAGGTCACACTGCCAGTCCAACAGACCCACCCAACTGTCCGTTCCCAACTCTTCCCTCCCACTGTCAATTGTCAACAAATATTAGTAGAGCTTTTTTCAGTTGTGCTGAAAGTCATAGCTAAAGAGGTGAGAGTATGGTTCACAACATTTGAGATGTGGAGACAGTCAGATGTGACTAATGCAGACCCTGCAGGTGAGGAAAGAATCTTCTCTGTGTCTGAACGAGCTCAGCTCTTCTTCTGGGGATGCATGTGGTTAGCATCTCTGTAGCCCAAGACAACTGTAAGAGACAAGAAACAAGGCAAGAAGGCAAGGACTCATTTTTGGCCACAGTTGTGGGGGTCACTGAGGACACTAAAAAGAAGGCATGCTATTATGAATCAGAACAAAGGAATGTTGGCCAAGTGCTCTGGAGCGATGACCTCTCAGGGCTCCTTACCCTTTTTTCTGCAGTGAAGTTATAAACGCTGGGCTGATTAGCACGGCTCTGCCCAAGACCAGAACACTGTTTTCTCCAAAGCAAACTGTTTTGAGGGGTTTAGAAACAACCCTGATAACCCTTTTATTGTTGCTTTGCAAGAAGAAGTTTAAAAAAATACAGTCCTGTACAGTGCCCCACGATGACATAAAATCAGATAAAACATGGCTGCTAATTGGTTCCTGAATGCCCAGAACCCCGGCCAGCTGGCTGCACAGGCTCGCTTGCTCATATAATTAATCTCACAATAACACGACTGTGATTTTTCTGTGATGGAATTTTTTTGGACTCTCTCTATAGCTTTCATCAGAATTTTATTTTACTAAATAACTACAGAAATAACACTCACCACTTGACCTTAGCATGAAACCTTTTATAACCTTCTTTGGCCTCTTTCAACCATATTAATGTTTACACATGGCTTTTAGAATATGTAAAACATTTTTAAACTTAAGCATTTTTAAGCATTTTTATAATTTACTGTGTATTTTTGCATAAAGCTGTACTATTTTTTATCTTGATCCCTTCTAATGGTTAAGTGATAATCCCGTGAATCCAGCTATTGCAATGTACTTAGTCATTCCTCTAAAAGGAATCATTTAGGTTGGTTTCAGGATTGTTGTCTATTGCTGTAATCAACATCCTTGGTACCTACAGTGGCTTTTCTTATAAAATATTTCTCAAAGTCTATTTCATGGCCTACCTGTATCAGAATCACTTAGAAGGCAGGAATGGGAGACAGGGGTGTGTGGGTGAGTTGTGGTGGTGGTGGTACTGGTTTAAAATACAGATTCTCAGGCCCTGTTACACGTACTTACCAATTCAGACTCTTTGGGAACAGGATCTGAGAATTACAGTATTAAGTCTCCTAAGAGATTCTCATAGACACTGGCGCTTGAGACTGAAGTCAGAAGATAAACTTCCAATAGTCTGTAGGTTGCTTCGTAGTGCTATCTAACATTGCTGGAACTCCAAGTAGGCCCTCAGAACCACTGGACACAGCATCTCCTCTTCGAACAATACTCTTCCTTTTCTAACTTGAACATGGAAGACACTGAGCCTCAGGTTAAGGACCTTTTCCAGCTAAGATATCACGTGGCTAAGACTCGGGCCACACTGACTCTGGTGCCTATGTTCTTAATCACTTGGCTGTACTGATTACAACATATTAAGATTCTAGTCGTACCCTCCTCTCCAAAATAAAAGTCCAGGCATGGCCATCATAACCTCCCATGATGGTAACTGATCTGTGAACTTTTACCTTTGAACCTAGTGAGTCCCATTTCAGAAACACTAGAAAAAAAGTGGTGAGATTATGTTAGACCACTCCGTGTGAGCACAGAACAGACTCTGAGATGGACATGTTTCACAGAGAAAGTAGAGAGATGTCCTCTCCCTTCCCAGAAGCTAGAAGCCATTAGAAATCTTCTCCCGAGCTTGGTTGGAAGCCTGTAGTCATTGTTCCACTGGGGAAGGGCCCAGAAGGTGCAGAAGTGAGCAGGGGGGCAGTGCAGGTATCTACATGCTGAGCCACATGGAGGACCCCATCAGGCCTGTGCAGTGTGCAGTCTGGCCTCTCAGCTCATGGAAATTTAGTTTCTTTCTAAGCGCAGGCTGAAGGCTTTGAAGAGGAGGCCCAGACCCAGTGAGAGAACTGGATTGAACCCAATCCTTCCCTTGCAGGTGGTAAACGAAAAGGAAAAACATTTTAACTCCCAAAAGTAATCTAAATCCACTGTAGCGAGTGATTTTCTGCCCAGGTGACACTGAAAGCTTGCAGTCCTCTCCCAGGATGCTTGTATGGTCTCTCATTTCTAGATTTAGCAGAGGTCCTGTTCTGGGATTTCAAGCTCAGTCTACAGTCCCCGTAACTGGGCTGTGAAGATTAGAGAATCTCAGTAATCCTCAGCAAATACAGACCTGTTAGCATCCTACTAAGATGAGACCACTGTAACCCGCCCTGATCTGGAGGTGGTCGGAAAGCTCAGCCCTCTGGCACTCCCCTTGAACTTGGTCTGGAAAGGCTGAATCATGGAACAGACTCATCAGACTCATCAGACCCTTGTATCAAAGCCCTGCTCTTCCCTTTTTGGGGATTTTTTTTTTTTAGAAAGGTTTCTGCTATAGTGCATGTGCGCTTGCCAGAAAGACAAAGCGAGACAGAAAGCGAGAAATCCACCCCCCCCCCCACTCACACACGGGGGATGTCCATGCTGCAATCCCTTCTCCTCCATTCTTCTCTCGGGATCTTGAGCATGTACGCACATGTGCCTGGAGTGAGTTTAAGCCACCAGGTCCGGGACTCGAACCGTGGTCGACTACATGGGAGTCCAGCGACATAGCCCTTATGCCAACTGCTGGTCCCCCCATTTTTGGGAGTTCTTTACATAGCACGCCATTTTCCTAGGCTCAGTAACCAGCTTCGCCAGCCCGAGAAGATGTTGAGTTGTAACAAGAACAGGGTGACACAGGACTGGGGAGTGGAGATGGTGTGAGACAAATGATAAGAGCTGCCCCCCCAGGGTCATGTCTTGGAGTGGGGAGCTGCTGTGGTGGCCTGTGCTGCTAAGAGGTTATGCTCCACAGGCCGGGACACATGTGAAGTCTGAGTCCTTGTTTAACCTAAAGGCTGGGTGCTGTGGCATGCACCTGTGATCCCAGCAGCTCGGAAGACTGAGACCAAAGGATCACAAGCTTGAGTCGGGCCTGGGCAATATTGCCAGATCCTGTCTGAGAAAAGAAACGAAGAAAGGAGAAAAGCCAGGGGTGGGGGTGCACTCCTGCAGTCCCAGCTGGGAGACAGAGGCAAGAGGATAGTGTAATAGCGAGACCTTGTCACATAAAACAAAAAAATGAAAACCACCTACACGAAGAACAGCATTATTACATCATAACAGGTGTGCAGGCTGGAAGCCCCAGTCCATGGAAAAAGTTCCTTGCTGTTCATGAGGGTTGTGGCTTAGGCGGTAGAATTGTCCCTTTGAGCCTCTGCTGGGAGAAAATGGCAGTCTGCTAGTAACAGGAGGCTCTCTTTTTTGGGGGGGAAAGGTTTTTGCTATAGGGCGCGGGCACTCGCCAGACAGAGAGAGACAAAGAGACAGAAAGCTAGAAATCACCCCGCAGGAGGGATGGCCATGTCACAATCCCTTCTCCTCCGTTCTCCTCTCAGGATTCAGGGCACGCACGCACACGCGCCCGGTGTGAGTTTTAAGACACCAGGTCCGGAATGCAAACCGCAGTCGACTACATGGGAGGCCAGCGACATAGCCATTACACTAACTGCTGGGTAACAGGAGGCTCTTGATTTTAGGCTCTCATCCTGATTTTACCATTTGACATTACTGATTTTCCTGTTTGTTTTTCCTTTGGGGTGTGCACAGAGGGGGGCGCACAGAGACAGGCCTCGCTCTGAAATACCTTCTGCAGAAGGGGTTCCCTGGGGGCAGAAATGCCTCTGTTCCCCAGATCCTCATCATTGTCACTGATGGCAAGTCCCAGGGACATGTGGCCCTGCCGGCCAAGCAGCTGAAGGACAAGGGCATCACCGTGTTTGCCGTGGGAGTCCGGTTTCCGAGGTGAGAGCCTCAGTCATTCTGAGTCAGCCTTCAGGAGGCTGGTCTGGAGACCAGGCTGTAGCTAAGGGGCTTTCACTGTCCAGGGAAGTGTGGGAGCTGGAGAGACAGCCCTGGTCCTCCATGGGCCTATCTTTTCCTCACTTGCTGTTTTGCCATTTTGGTTCTGGAGCACCGAGCACTCCAGTCTCTGGGAGCCTGAGAGTTTGTGTGGTCTCCAGTTCAGTCTGAGTACTGGGTTGTAAGAGCCAGAAACTCAACTCAGATTGACTTGGGCAGAAATGGGACATTCACGATCATCTCACTTCGCTGGGTGGGGCAGGAGCCAGGGACTTCGGTGTCATTAAGATTCTCTGTCCCTGTGTGTATCTGCTGTTCTCCCTGCTTTGGCCTTGGCTCTCAGCCTGTCTCTCAGGAAGCTGGAACTAGGGCTGCAGGCAGCATCTCAGCTCACACCTTCACAGCTCCATTCGGGTGGGAGAAGACCTGTGTGGTACACTTGGGGGTCCTTACCTGCATCCTATCAGATGGGGCTGTTGCCACGTGGTCTCTGGATCCATGAGATGGTGTTGCCATCCACAAGGAGCCCATGGTCTAGGAGGTGATGGGCAGGAGGTGGGCATGGGGCAATGAGTGTGGAACTCCCGGTGCAGGTGGGAGGAGCTGCACGCCATGGCCAGTGAGCCGAGGGAGCAGCACGTGCTGCTGGCCGAGCAGGCAGAGGATGCCACCAACGGCCTGCTTAGCACCCTCAGTAGTTCTGCCATCTGCACCACCGCCTCTCCAGGTAAGAGCTTCCAGCTGAGAGGGAGTGGCCTTGCCTGTGGGGAAGTGGGGTGTTGCAGGGAGGGTTTCCCAAGGCAAGTGGTTGGGATGCAGGAACCTCCCCAGGGAGGGAGGACTAGAACATCCTCTGCCCAGCCCTGTTCAGGCTCCCTGTGTCCTGCCCCGTGGGTTTCCCAGCTGGAAGCCCTGCACTTGTGTCTGAGGCATCCCAGGTGCCAAGGCAAGCTGGGCATTAGTCCTGGAAGGACCTTCCCCCTGTTCAGGGGGTAGAGTCAAGTCTGCTCCCCCCAGCCATGGTCAGAGGAGCACTGGGAGGTGAGACCCCCCACGTTCTAGTGATCCTCGTCAGGGTCCCCCGGAGCTAGAGCGATGTCCATGCAGAGGATGTACACTGGTGCCCACTATGGGACAGCTGGTGCGGTGGGGCCCTGCAGAGGATGTGCCCAGAGACCAAGGCCCTGCGGACCAGCCCACACGGG